GATGCGTGGTATGGTGGTGACACGACCAAGAAATGGCTGCCCATCCTTTCCCTCTGCTTTTTTTCTCTTCTTCAAAATGGCGTTTCTTGCATTTCATGAGTTATAAAAAAAATAAACCTTAACAATCTCTCCTTTTTTTTTTTCTCTTACCCGTTCGGTCACCTTTTTCTTGTTTCTCTTGCTATCGGCTGGTTTCGCTGTAACTATATTCAGGTTCGATTTCTCAACTTTTCTTCATTGATTCTCCTACATTGCCTTATTTCACACTGTTGACGTTTTGATTTTGATTTATTTTTTTGGTGCGCAGAGATAGAGAGAGATGGGGGAGTTAGCGAAGGTGTTGTATATAGTGGTGGTGGACGAAGGTGAGAAGGAGAAGGAGACGTTGTCGTTTCGATATACGCGTCCCGTTCTTCAGAGCACTCTCCAACTCATGGGCTGCAAAGCTCGTCATGCCTTCAAGGTTTTCCTTTTTCTTTTTTTTTTCCTTCTTGTTTTGTGAATTTAGATGAATTTTTTTTTTTTACTTCAAGCAATTTGGTTGATTTTGCTTAATCATGGATTTACGATTTAATCCTGTTTTCGTTTGATAAAAATTGTTTCTTTCTTTTTATCATTTTGTTTGATTGATAAATTATAATTACGAAATAATAAATTGAAAATGTGGACGATGAGTTTGATAGATCTGGTTCCTTATAACATGTTCTATAAAATTCCATTTCAATTTTACATGATTTTCTGCTTTAATGCCGAGTCAAAACTATAGAAATTTTAACAATTTGATAGTAGCATTTTTTCTTCTCTGATTTTTTTCTTTTAAATCCGCTTTCTGTCGTCGTCAAAGGATTTTGACTAAATATTAATCTTCTCAGTGTACCTCTAAAACAAGATGAGCTTCGTTTTTAGGTTCCTATTTGTTTCTGCTAAAACTTTTAGCCCTTTGCAAATGATCGAAATCAATTAATGTGAAACCAGTTTTGATCTGTTTCCGTTTTCGTTGGCACTTCCACATTGTGGATCTTGTTCTACCGTGTGGTCCAATTATGATTTGGTAATTTTATTGCAATGTGCACATTATCGGTTTAATTTTCAGTTTGTAAATTACTTTCTGCTTCCTATTGGGAGATAGAGATATTCATTGTCATGTTTAGGGAGACGTTTAGACGTAAATTACCTACCTCGTGTAAGTATGCATATGGAGATTGGGACTTGGTCTTTTCCTCAATCAGAATTCTTGTGAATTCTTGTGTACTCTTATTTGATGGTTTTGATGTTGTGATATTCATTTCATATTTAATTTTCTAATTTGACATGATTGGTCTTCTCATGTTTGTTTAATTGTTATGGCAAGCGGATCCTTTTCCTGAATGTCCTCTTTGTATTTCTTTCCAGATTAGCCAGAGCGTTTTTGAATTGATAAGAGGTGAACCTTCTTACAACTCTCTCGTTCAAGATGGAAGTGAGACATTGAAGTCTGATGGGTGCAAAGGAAACTCTGAGAAGGAAGATGTTTGTCCTATCAATGGGGACTTTCGTGGAGCAGAGACAGACAGCCGTTTAGTTTCAGACAAAAATGATAGGAATAAGAGTATACCATTTGAGTTGTACAAAAGGCGCACATCGATTGTTGTTAAAAGAGAAACTTTCTTAGATGTTGTCTGTGAAGCTCTGGCTGATTATAAGTATGTGGGTCCAAACCAGAAGGCTGACCTGTTTTTAGCATGCAGGTATTTTGTGACTGTGGCATCTTATACCTACCAAAATAATTTGCAATAATACATGGCATGTAATTAATTGCTTGCATGTTGAACATATATTCCATTAAATTTATTTGACATGGCAATTTTTTTTTGTATAACATATTTCTAGAGATAGACTATTCAAGCATGATTTTCTCCATAGATTTTTCAATGGTCTCCCCTCTTTTTTTCCCCTTTTGGTGTTCTTGCGTACAACAAGACTGTTCATCATCACAAGTATGCCATAAGTTTTTAAAGTAACATTTATAGATTTGTCATGCCTAGTTGCAGCAAACATGCATATATGATTTAATATGGATTGTGATAGAGGGTTTTAGATTCTCTTGTTCAATGTCCAATTCTTTGGGGTCTTCAAATTAGATGCAAGAACCTTCTTCTCTCCCCTTGTAACTGTATTTGGTCTTCACCGCAGAATCCGAGAGAGGAAGGAATCTGTAACTGTGCTGTTGTGTGGCACTAGCGGTTGTGGCAAATCTACTTTGTCTGCTTTGCTGGTATCTTTGCTTTGCATATTAATGTTGGGTGGCACTAGCAGTTGTAACTGCAATTACATAAATAGCTAATCTTAGTGCTTTTGATAATGTCATGCAGGGTAGCAGGTTGGGAATTACAACTGTGATTTCTACTGACTCTATTCGCCACATGATGAGGAGTTTTGTAAATGAGAAGGAAAATCCTCTACTTTGGGCTTCAACCTACCATGCTGGGGAGTGTTTGGATCCTGTGGCGGTTGCAGAAGCTAAAGTTAAAAAAAAGGCAAAAAAATTGGCAGGCATTGCTCAATCACTTCCTAAGGGTGAGGTAGCTGATGGTTCTTCAGCTGGCAAGGAGGCCCAACCAATGGAGAGCGGTTCTACTAGTACTGAATTGATTGGTCCCAAACAGATGGCGGTTGAAGGTTTCAAGGCACAAAGTGAGATGGTAATCGACAGTCTAGACAGACTGATTACTGCATGGGAAGAGAGGAAAGAGTCTGTAGTTGTCGAGGGTGTTCACTTAAGCCTTAATTTTGTTGTAAGTAGACTTTTGGTTTGTTCCCTGCAATTATATGTGTTCATTTCCCCAAACTTATCTTATTCATATATCAATTTTTTATCTTTGTGTGCAGATGGGGCTTATGAAGAAACACCCCTCAATTATACCATTCATGATATACATTACCAATGAAGACAAACACTTGGAAAGATTTGCAGTTCGTGCAAAGTACATGACATTGGATCCTGCAAAAAATAAGTATGTGAAGTATATAAGGAATATCAGAACAATACAAGATTATCTATGCAAACGAGCTGAAAAGCATTTGGTCCCCAAAATAAACAACACTAATGTTGACAGAAGTGTGGCGGCCATACATGCAACAGTTTTCAGTTGCCTCCGCAGGCGTGAAGCTGGGGAGCCACTTTATGATCCTATAACAAATACAGTTGCTGTGGTTGATGAGGAATACCGGAATCAGTGTGCTGCCAATTCACTGAGCTCCAAGGGAATGTTTCAGTTGATCCAGAGGAATGGTTCCTCTAGGCAACTGATGGCCCTTCTTAATACTGATGGATCCGTGGCTAAAGCTTGGCCAGTTGAATCAGTTGATAGTAATGGAAGGCCCATCTCTGGCCATGGGACTGAGGGTGGATGCATTCCATTATATGGACCATTAAAATTTGGCAAGGCCGAACCTGTTAATCTTCAATTTGGTCACTTTGGAATTAGTGCCTGGCCTAGTGATGGTGGCACAAGTCGTGCTGGAAGTGTAGATGAGTCAAGATGTGATGGGACTGATAATGGCAGTAGATACCAGTCTTCTTGCTGCAGCTCACCAAGGATTTCTGATGGTCCTGCAAAGGAGGTAGTATGTTAAAATGTTTACTTTTTCATTTTCCTTTTTAAATACTCTTTAGTAATGCTTTTTTTTATGTGTATACAGCAAATTAAGTGAAATAATAAACAAATGGAAGTCACCTTTAATAATAATAATAATGTGGAATTTTCTTTTTCTTGTATTTAGTTATGCTATGCTTATTTTAGGCTTGGATTATTGATTTCTCTCTATCTCACAGCTAAAGGAGGAAAATTCAGTATATGGCAGTGATGAAGAACTTGATGATCCACCTGAGGTGGACAGCGATGATGAGGATTTTAGTGATGATGGTGACAAACAAGTCCATGAAGAGGTATGAACTTGCGTTAGATTTTACAAGAGGTGGAAAGTATATTTCATTATTGCATTAATTAGAGATTAATTTACAAATAGCATTGCTACCTGCCATGCAATAATACCAAAAGGAGTTCTTATGACTTATTTTTTATTTGTGTTATATGGAATATGTTAACGAGACATGGCTTATTCCTTGATTCATATTGTACGCTTGCTTCAGAGATACGTTTTTTTTATGAAATTTGGATGATTGAAATGTTAGTAGGTTGTGCTTTCTAGTTTCGTATAGATTTTTATTCTAATCCAAGTTTGCTTCATCTTAGAATTCCAGACAAAATAAGGTCTTATATTTTTCTTTCTGATTCTGCTTTGATTTTACTCGATTTTTCTTCTCTCTGTTCTACAGGTAGGATCTGTTGATGAAGGCTCAACAAAATCAGATGAAGAGTATGATGATCTGGCAATGCAGGATGTGCAGGAGAAAGGCTACTGGTCAGATGATGAAGGGGACCCTTGTGATAAGGTAGTGGCATTTTCTGGGGACCAAGCAAACTACACTAGAGGGGATGATAAATATAACAAGAATTTGAACATCTTCCTTAGAAGTAGAAGTGAGCAGTTATCGGAGCCACTATGTTCTTATTCTTCGCTGCTTATGGAGAAGAATGAGAAGGGATTGGCACCCGTAGGCAATGTTGAAATGAGAAAACGCTCCCTCAGCATTCCAGCCTTGGGGAAGCATGGATCAAATAATCAGTGATCCCATACTTTCTGGGGCCCCTCAGCGGTAGCAAATCAATTTTGTTCATGGTATTTGATGGTTTTCTTTGTAACCTTTGTGTGGCTCCTATAATAACTAGGTAGTTTAATCCTAGTTGCTAACCCTGCCCACTTTCTCCTCTCAACAGTGATGCTTGGTATGGTCGCACGACTGGACTGGGAATGATGCTTTAATGTTAATTTTTTTATTTTTGATAAATGCCGTGATCAAATTTTGGGTTTAAACTTTTCTTTTTTGGTACAAAATTTCTGAACTAAAGATATACATTTATGCATGAAACAAGAAAAATTGTCTAAAAAAAAGTTAAAGAGGAAAAGGAATAATATAAAAAAGAAGGTAGCATTGCCCTGGATCCATGAATGCTATAATAATGCCACTAAATTTTCCTCTCATCATTTCGGCTGAAAACAAAGACCTTCATTTAGGGTCAGAGACAGAGGCTCCCTGTGAATCAATTTTTGTTCAAAACCTACTTACATCCATAACTCTTCTCCGTATCAATAATATAAGCTCCGAATCATGATTAGATGTTTTAAAGTAGGCTTTGTGTACATCAGTAATGTTTTTCCCTGGTTATGCAGCCTGAACGCAAAAGATTGTAATGTGGTGTTCGCTGTTCTAATCCATGAGGGTTCCAAATTGTCATCATAGCATTCTGCAAGATATGCTACCTTGGAGGCTTGAAACATTATCAGCACTTCTCAGCAGCAGCTCCGGTTTGTCGTTTGACAGACATCCACCTTGCCTGTAACAACAAGCACATGAAGTCTGATTTCTTTGACCTCATCTGGCTTCTGAGCCTCTAGCTTCCAGGAAGTAATTTCTGTGTCTCTGACTACATCTAAAACAGTTTTCAAGTCCTTTATTTTATTATTGTATCTCATGAAGCGGCATTTCCACTCCACTAAATCTCTTTCTTTGCCATTTTTGGCTGATTGCAGAACTGAAGCTTACCGTCTTAGGGCGTATACCCCTTTTAATCATTATGTTCATCAGCATCTTTGCTTTCTCAGTCTGATTAATTTCACACAATAATTTCCCCATCTGATTACATAAAGATATATCAGCATGAAATCCTTTCCTCTCCATCTCAATCTGCAACTCAAAAGCTTCATAAGCCATTCCATTCAGGCAAAATCTATTAATCAACATATCATATGTAACCTTGTCCAACTCAAATCCCCTTTTTTGCATCTCATTTACATACTTCATTGCCACTAACAACTCTCCAACCTTAGAATACCAATTTATTAACGGCCAATATGTATCAGCATTTGGCTTTACACCTCTATTGCTCATTCTATCGAACAACAATAGCACACTCTCTATTGACCCTAATTTACAATACCCATTTATCATCAAATTATACAAATAAGTATCAACTCTCAAACCTTTATTATGCATCTCCCCAACCAACCTTTCAGCTTCTTCGATTTTCCCATAGCTCGTATACCCATCAATCAAAAATTTATATGTCACCACATTAAATCCCACTGCTCCTTTTTCCATCAAAACTAACACCAAATCCAACTCCTCAAAATCCCGTCTTTTTGTACAAGAATCTATCAATTTATTATAAGTTATTACACTGGCTTTAATCCCTCTACCAGCCATCTCCTCCACTATCTCTCTACCTTTCTTTATATCCCCATTTCTACAACATCCATCAACCACAGCTGTCAACGAATAAACAGAAATTTCAAGAACTGTTTCTACCATTTGATAAAAGAAATCTAAAACCAACCCCAGTTCATCAGCTCTCTTAAGAGCGTTTAAATGAACAGTACAAGTTCTCTCATCAATCTTAATCCCATTATTCTTCATATAATCAAAAGTATTTGATACCTCACCAAATTTTCCATTATCAGAATTAACTTTCAGCATTAAATTAAAAAACTTTGCCATAATTTTGGACTCAAAACAACGATTCTCAAAAGTAGAAGCTATAACAAGAAAAGGGTACCTGGCATTTTCATCAATTAACAGAGATTTTAACAGAACTTCAGCATCCGAAAACAATCTGGCTTTGAGAAGCCTAGACATAAAGGTCGAGTAAACTTGAAGATCAGGCTTGAAGGAAACCAATGCTTGGTTTTTGACGACAAAGTCGAAGAAACGGAAGCATTTTGGAGGCTTTAAAATCTGGGTTTGTGAGTATATCATGGAAAGTGGTGGGATTGAGATCGGAAAAAGTAGAGGCATTGAGGGGCTTGGAAGAAGGTCTTAGGCATTGGGAGACGAGGTGTGGTAAGTGTTGATAAGGATTTGGAGAAAGGGTTGATGGGGAGGATTTTTTAATAGTTTTCAGGGTCTTGAGAAGGCTTTGGAGTGTCATTTGGGGTTAATGGAGTTTGGAACAAAACTGCAAATTCTGAACTTTTGACACCTTAAAATGAACCACTCATTGTCACACCTCTTTTCAGTCGCAGGTTTCTTTTCCGTCTATTATTATTATTATATTAAATCGTTCAAGTTTATCAAAAAAAAATCGTTCTTAGCCGATCTACATTCTCAGAATCCATTATTTTCATTAACATTTGAATGTTTGTAAGTTAAAATTCTCATCTATTTACATTTTTGTTTTTAGGTCAATACCAAAAGAACCATGCATTAGTTATGTTAAATTTCAATTGAAATTAGTATATGAAATAATGAAAATCTGATTTGAGGTGTCTTTTCAATAGAGATGTTAATTTTATTAATATCTAATAAAAAGTTTAATTTTTTTATTTGAATAGAGATAAAAATAGGTATTATATTATTAGTATAAATGTATATGATTTTAAATTTTTATTAAAAATAGATAATACAGTATTATCTCGTACACATATTTTACATATATTTATATATTTAATAAATAATTTTTTATTAAATAATAAAAATTATTATTTTAGATTAATTAAAATTAATATATATTTATTAAAAATATATTAATATATATTTTTAAACATATTACCTAAATATATAAAATAAAAATAAATTTTAGTTTTTTATTTTTTATTTTTAAGTTTTGGGTATGAGGAATCCTCGTACCATTAAATAGCCGTGAGGTCGGAAATGACGATAAATATAAAATATTTGCAAGATATAAATATAATAATATAAAAATTTAAATATAAAAAATACTTTTCTCTAGCCATATTTTTCCTATTGACATTTTTATTTTTTAGCTTGGTTGGGTTGCTGCTGTTTGGACTTTTGCCTGCCTTGACTTTGTTTGTGGGCTGCGTCTGAGTCAGAGAATGGGCCTTACTTGTTGATTCCTTCTTTTGTTCTTTTGGGTCATTTTGAGACTGGCCCGACGATCATTTCCTGAACTTTTTTGGAGCATTACTCTTTTTGGAATCTGATTTTGTCTAATTTGTGAAATACGAATAATGAAGAAAGAAGAACGGAAAAATTTTACATGAAATTTATAGGTGAAATTCGTTAAAATTTTTATTATAAATAAATAAATTAAAATTAAAATTAAAAATTGATAGATTAAAAAATTTTATCACATAGATAAAATATGTAAAATTTTAAAAATTTTTAATGAATTTTGATATATTTATTAAATAGATATTTTTAATAAAAATATTGATAAAATTTTTATCGTTAAATAAGTATAAATTAAATTTAAATTATAAATAATATTTTTAATAATTTGGTTATATATTTTGACATTCATATTAAATTCTATCAATTTAAATTTTTTATAAAAATTTTTATTAAATCATTTAAAAAAATTCACAAATTTCACGTAAATAACTTCGTATAAATTTTATCCAAAGAAACACTAAAATCTCCTGTCACAGTCTGCTGTCTTGTCTTAAAACAGTTTTCTATATATAATTGCAATTATCATTGAATTTTACTCACCGCCGGAAGCAACCCTTAACATACGTTGTCACTGGGACGGTGAACTAATCCGTTCTCGAAAGGTTTCAGGTCGATTCAATCTTATAAGATCGAATTTTTTTTTTGAAATTCATGTTTTAAATCAGATCAAATAAAATTATGAAACAATCGAAGTTGAATTTGTTTAAAATTTGATTCGATTTGATATTATATAAAAAATTATTTTTTAATTAATTATTTAATTTTTTATTTATATATATTTTATTAATTTTAAATCGAATCGGATACGATTTACATGATATCGAGATCGAATTAGATTGAATTTGAGTATGAAAAAACAAAAAAAAATTTTAAATAAAATCGAATTCGAATTTAATAAAACATAAAATCGGATCAAATTCGATACAAACAAAACTCGTTCAGAATCCGACCCGATATCAACTTTAATTGTCACCTTTGCAAAGCGCAACCAACTGTCTAGAATGACAAAGATTAATTTACTTTGATATTTGATTGATTGATAAAAAAATAAAAGAGTAATTGTATCTTTCTAAGCTAGTATTTGTTAATCAATGTAAAAAATCCCAGAAACCCACCACAAAGATTACAATTGAAGTTTAAAATTTCTCAGTTTCTCAATGAAAAAGATGATATCATGGGGTTTTTGAGAATTTAATGCTTTTTTTTCTGTAAGATTTGATTTGTAACGGAAGAGCATTTGAACATGACTCTTTTAATCGAGGATACATATATATATATATATATATACATATTCTGGGCAGGAAAAAGTACCTCATATACGCTGTTGTCATCTGAAATAATCACATGACATCATTGTTTTGCCAAATGAGTGGTGTGATTGTGATCACATTTCTCCATGATTCTGACTTCTGAGGTAGATTATTTTAAAAAGAGTTTCCATCCTTGGTATTTCAGTCGGTTTCCTCTGCATGCACTAAAAACCAGAAACCTCATTATGTTCATTGTAAAGTAACCACTTAATTTAGCCCTCAGCTAATGTAGCCTGAGCTGCTGTAAAAATCACCATAACTGCACCATTCAAATTCATTATTAATGGCTTCCCTTGATTTTCTTTTTTCAGTCCAAACAAGAAAGATCTGATGCCAGAGACCGATGCTGGTCCTTCACTTCCATGTCTGCCACGTGAACACCCAGTGCTCTATCAGATGGACCACAAATCCGACATTGGGGGACCATTGGGGCTTTTTAGGTCCACTCAAAGGTATGGAACATGTTTTCATTTGACAATAATTTGCAGAGGCAATCGAGCGTGCCTTGGTTGTCTAGTCTGATTTTTCATATACACATATGTATCACGCATGAATAGTTTTGATTCGACGATTTTGACATACGATAGTCTTCAGCAGGTTCTTCACGCCAACAATAGCTTTTTATACAATTGCGTATTGATTTTGATTCGATTCAGATGTCAAAGAAAAGATTACATGAGTGTGGCTATAGCCATGTTCATACACAGATACAGTATCACAAACTAAGAGACGCTTCCTGAAATTAAGTAGATGTGTAGAAAATGAAAATTAAGAAATAGCTTTGATTTATTTAAATCAGAAACACATGCAGTACTCAAAAAGAAATTTTGGAGATATATTTAAGTCTTCATCTTTGATGATGGAATGCTGAAGCATGGAATTTATCAGAATTAACATGGAAGGTCTAGCCGTCCAGGGATGAATGATTGGAGACCTAAGAGAGTATTGCCCAAGCATTCAGTTACAGTACTGCCTTATACCGAAAGCTTAATAAGCTTCAACTTCTCTAACTCCAACCAACGTATAATTGAGTGGTAAAAAAAGTACATTCCTTTTTTTGTTATTTGAATTTAAATATGCTCATAAGTTGTAGTAAGATAATTTTTCATGAATTTGTTAAACCCATTTTAAATAATTTGCTTTGACTAACTTGAAGAGAAAATGTACAGGAAAAAAACTCAATGTTGAAGTCCTCGTTAATATTTTTTTTAGCCAATATGTGCATTTCCCATCTGCTGTTTTGTTAGCTAGCTTCCGCATGTAGCAGCCTTTTATCGAGGCCAAGATGGGTTGGAAACTAACCATTACGTATCATTTGTTCAAGCACTAGCTATCATCTGATCGAAAGTCTGATTCATCGTTTGAAAAGGGATCCTATTTTGGTCTTGTCATAGCATTCAAAACGTACCATGCACTTCAACTTTCATTATTAGCAAATACTAAATCCACATTAGAAGAAAAAGGTTATCACCCACGATTAAGATCAGTTATCGATATAATTTTTGGGTTGTAATTTGATTGAATAAACAGTTATCTTTCATGGTCAACAATGTTTTCTGAAAGAGATTATCTTTAGCCTTTTGACAGCTAATGCAAATAGAAGACAGGAAAAACAATATAGACTTGATTCTAATTAAGCAAATGTATAAAGTATGCAAAGCCGAAATCTATATGGGAAAAGAGATCCCCAAGATTAACGAAGTATTGCGTAAACCAACAAATCTAATGAGAAGAGAAAATCTCAAATAAAGTAACCACTGCGGAAGTTGAATTTCTAAAGATGAAAACCAAATCATCAGAAGCTAATGCTTTAGTCCTTACCTTGACTAGTTATTGTAGCAAATAACAGTAAATTAATATATAGTACTAATTCCTGTAAACACAGCAATAGGCGTATGCATAACTGCAAAAGTGTACTAGCTGCAGCCATTGTACAATCTATATGAATGATCCCTTGCCTATCGTTATTTTCAAGTATATCAGAGAAAATTTAAAATGGGGACCACTAATCAATGATGATGAGACTTCAATTTTCTAATCCAGTCATCTGTATATACTGTTTTATTATAAGACTAAAGGAGGAAATTACCAAATAGAAAAGCCAGCTAAGAGTTATGTTTATATGTGTATTAACTAGTTCTTGTCAAAGTTGAAAAACAAGAATTTTCTGATCAATTTTTCTTTCAAACCTAGCATATTACTTGTCAAAGTTGAAAGTTTCATTGAGTTTTAATAGGTTTAGAACTATTGGTTGAGTAATTTGTAAGAGCTGTCTAGTGATCACAAATACCAACCAGAAGTCAAATTGTATATTTGGTACGCTAGTTCTGAACATGAAATATTGAACAACATTTGGTTGCTGATATGATTGTTCTATATACTATATCAATAAGAGAAGTCGAAGATCACAAAATTTATACGTGTATGGAGTTCAAAAAAGGAACTGACATAAAACTTGGAGAGATAGATATGGTCAAAGACAAAGTAGACTAGAAATGGCATGTGAATATAGAAGAACAGATTGGAGAAGCGAAATAAACTAAGGGCTCAACTTCCAATGCTGACTAGTACAAAGTTCCACGTATAATACTTGCTCTATATGTACGACCCAGATGAGAATCCTGAAAGATTTTTCTGCTAAATTCAAACAAGAAACTGGCTCAAAGAGTACAGTAAGAACCTGCATGTCCAACATATATATGAATTCAACAGAAAGAGCTTAATAAGCCAAACGTAGAGAAGAACCCAGTTCTAACTGATTGAAGTTAGAACATGCAAAAGGAAACTTGATTCAAATATGCATGTTATACATGTAGTACTGCTATTTTCTTGGCTGAACCCTTTATTTTCTCTTTGAAGAAAAACAGACTCCACAAAAGATTTGCCAAAATTAGTACTTATAAGGCTAACTTATATCTTTATAAGAGTTGATATATCTTAATAAATGCAG